GCATAAGCTTTAAAGACGAGATAACTGTAAACATAATCAAAATCAACTTTGTGTCTGGGCCCTGTTGTTGTTAATCGAAACAAGTGCTTAATAAATAACTTAAAGCCCACATAAGACTAGGCTGCTTAAGTTGACCAGTAGATACCCTAGAGGCGAAGGTTTGAAATTAAATAGACAGCTAAACATGCGCTCATCAAAATTAACTATATCTTATAACACCACAATATGTGTTGAATATGCATCAAAGAATATGCTGAATTTTACAACACTTTTTCATACTTACCACCACTAATACTTGGAAATACAGAAGAAATACACGTTTTATGCAGAGAAAAATTTACATATTTAAGCAGTTTTTCATAACTAATGCTTGGGAAATTCGAATATAAATATGCGCTGCAGGTACGCCAAAAAGATGGCTGTATTTAATAACGCACTTTTGCACACTTACCAACACTAAGACTTGAACACCAATGCTGTTTCATCTTTAGCACATTTTTTAAGAATTTTCAACACTAATGCTTTTTTTTCAAGCTCATTTTGCAGAGTTTTAAACACCTGTACTGTTTTATACCTGTGCTATACGAATTTATTAATGTATTATTATTTTATCTGCCGCTTTTAGTTTAGTAAATAACAATATTTATAAATATACATAAATGACGACTCTCATCAAAATGCTTTGGAGAAATAAAAGATCAATTATCTTTTAATGAAAGCGTCTAAAATGCATTAATACGAGAAAGCCAATCCCGAAAACTGATCAAATTAAGAAAATGGCCACCAAATACCAGCTATTATATAAAAAATCAGAAAATTGAACAAGCCCTACACACGCTTTCCTACAGGGTATACAACTAAACGTATCATTCTCAAGCTGACGCACGACATTTGCATTTGGACAGATTTGGTGAAATGAAAAAAAAAAAGAAGAAAAAATAAATAAATATGTGCCACACATGCCACATGATCGGCAATACGATTAAAATATCAAGTGTAACCGGAGAAGCAGACGCCGAGGCAGATCTTCAAAAGTCGCCTCAAAAGAATGCGACGCTCCACAAAGATAAGCTGCGGCCAAGCGAGCCATTGAAAGCAGTTGAAATGGAAACTGGCTAAACGACCGACTGCCAGACTGACTGACTGACTGACTGAGTGAATGACGGACTGACTGACAGCTGCGTCTTTAGAAATGGCGCACAAAAGCCACAGACGCCGGCACTTTGACGAAATTGACTTTCTCCATTCAATATAATTAATAGTAATATTTTTGTTGCTTAGCTGCAGCACGTCTTCAGAATTGTAACGGCTGCTGCTGCTGCTGCTGCTGCTGCTTGGGAATGCGGCCCAGGAAGTAATTTATTATTGCAGGCGTGCAGCAGCCGCAGCAGCAGCAAAAAAAGAAGCCCATTTGGAAGATGTGCGGCAGCTAAGCGGCCCAAAATAATTCATTAGTCAAAAATTCGCAGCGCACCACGGGGCGTATGTGTAACAAGTGAAAAGTCAAAGTCAAAGTCGCCGTGTGTGGCAGACAAACAAACCGAAAAAAAAAACCCCAAAAAATATATTCCAAAATAATATACTTAGAAAAATCAAGAAAAACAACAATTGCCGCAAAGGTGCGGCACAATTTACGAGCAAAGAGTTTGTATTTGTTTTTTTTGTTGTTTTCTGCGTCTTTTGGTTATTTATGCAAATTGTTTTCGGCTTCAGTTTGGGCAGCTTCTTCAGCCATTTGGCGCTCACTTTCAAAATGCCCAACCGAAACTATTTTTAGCCAATATTTTTTTTTGGCATAGCTGCTGCTGCTGCGGCGGCGGCTTTTACTTTTCTTTCGACTGTCGCTGAACTGAAATTGAAATTAGTTTAGTTTTTGGCCCACAATCGCTTCTGTTTTTCATTTCGTTTGGTGTTAACTTCATTTTTTTTTTTTTTTTTGTTTTACATAACAATCAAATGAACAAGCCAAATGCTTGTAGAAACAAGGCACGCACTTTTTATGGCCAACTGCTGTTAACCATTTCACGTTCATTGACTTGGCCAATAGAGGGGCCGGGAACGACGCCTGCTACAAGCTGTTCACGCTTGTCAAATTGTCACCTGGGCTAAACAAGAAAATACGAAAATGAAAAAAAAAACGTAAACTAAAATAAATGAAATAGTTTCGCCGGCACGCGCGCATTTAACATAAAGTACAATAACTTGAATTTCTTATTTAATTTTATTTTTTTTGTTGAACACAAATTGTTATTTAATGCAGTTTGTGGCTCGATTGAAGCCTGTTATAATTAGATTATATAACATCTTGTTTTGTTCGGGCGATTATCTAATTGCACAATAGAAAGCGGCACATGCTGCCCCGCCAATTAGACAACTTTGCCTCGACTCTTTTTTTATAACATTTTCTTTCGTTTCTTTGCTTTAAGTTGTTATCAAAAAAAAACCATACGAATTGTCGCCAGCTTTTGATGCCACAAGCTGCAGATGGAAAAAAAAACACACAGAAAGCAAACAAAATTCCCGACATTTATGCTAATGCATTAGCATAAATGCATTTATTTTTAATACGTTACTTTGGCCCGTAACCGAATTTATTAGAATTAGTTAGCATAAATCACATATGGAATAGACAAGAGTCGCCTGTGCTCTTAATGGCATTTTGTTTTTCTTCTTTTTTTTTTTATACGCCTTAAGCATATTTTGTACTTAACACACGAAACTTCACTTTCGCACATTAAAAATGCAATAAAAAATACTGCAGAGTAATAATTTTTATTTGCACATACATTTTTTATATACTCCATGAAGATTTTATAGCTGGACATTTCACTTTTAAGCCATATTTCACATTTGCTGTAAAGAAATTTGAATTTTCATGTTAAATCAATCTAAAAAGTTATAAGAAATAATCGAAGAACTCTATCGGAGAAAATTGACTGGTTTTTCTAATTTTGTTGAGAGTAAAAAACAATTAGAGTTTGTCTTAAATTAGAGTTTTAATAATACCTTTATCTAATATACCTTTATCGAATACAAACAAAAGCTCTAACTGAAATTCACAATAATTTAAATTGAATGCAATTTCAAAATCCTAACGGCTTTGATCTGCACAAACATTTGCTACCTGCTACAAAACTCAGCGTGAACAGCTTTAAGCGACAAGCTCAGCGCGCAGAGCTGTTGTCATGCTGTTAAAGCTGTGAACAGCTGGTCGCCAAACTTGTATTTATCTAGCGGCTTATCTTAATACACGCGCGCGCACAGTCAGACCACTTCTTGCCTCCATTGTTTTCGTTTCCAATCAGTTCTACGTTGCGTCTGATTGGGAGTGGTTCGCCATTTTGCCGTCTACAAATAAGAAATCCAGTGTTCGTTTTTTACACAACCGGCAATTGAGTTTTAATTCCTATAAGGTGAGTCGAACATAGAATTATTATATAAATGATGTCTAACAGTTGCAACTCAAAGGTTTCGCCTTGTCATTTATCTAATAAGCACACATTTAACGCTGACTTGCAATTATTGCCAAAGTGTAAGTGTGTATGTGTGTGTGTGTGCTAATTTGGAATCAATCTAAAATTGCAAATGTAAAACTGGCATTAATGTAGAAAGGTGCGTTTTAATGAATAAGTTGCGTTTATTTATTCTTTGATTAACCTCTGCCTTCCTCTCTTGGCCTTTCCGTTCGCTTTGACTTGAACTTTCCCCAGCGCACAAACACAATCACACAATGTGTTTAACACATGTTCACATTTGTGTGCATATTTCAATACACGCATGCATGCATATGTATGTACGCTGGCACACATACATATTCATTTAGTTTTTTATGCACTTTTATCTGCTTGTTTATTTTGTTGGCTTTCTATAGAGCAGCCGGTTTGTCGGCGGCCGGCTATACAGAGAAGAATATGAAGAAGAGAGATACCGAGTAGAGAATTGAATAGAGAATAACTTACACGTCGTCATTTGGTGGCCCACCTGTGTGTTAGTTTTTTCACTTTCCTAACGTTCAAAGTTTAAAACCCGCCTTTAGCATATGTGCATAGTCATTTTTGCGCAAGTCACACAGATTGTTCGAGTAATTCTCAAGGGGCTCGCGTAGTATTGTAATAGTCAACTTTTGCACGTACCTAATACAATTATTACCAATGCCAAATCTTATCAGTCGAGGCGTAGGGTCCTCTATTTTCAGCTGATAGTGTATAGTCGACACTAAGTATTATTCAAAGCTTGGCTGCTGTACAAATATTTGGTGAAAGCGTCAACAAGTAATTTGATTCTCTACTTTGTAGGCGTGTCTTGTTGAGTCGTGGATATGGCGTGATTTTTCAGTAGACAAAATCACGCCATTTGGCATGCAAAGGAGCTGCTCTGCCCAGTATCAGAGTAATTAACGTCCGAAGCTTATTAGGCTGTGTCGAATGTGTTTGCTAATTTGCATTCAAAACTAATACAGAAAACAGTTGGATAGTCTAAATATAAAGAAATCGCCTTTATCAATTAGCACATTGTTCCAATTTATATAAGCTGGCCAGATGCTACAAATTGCACAGAAAGGTTGTGCAATAATTCGATGAGACAATTTATTTCAATTAGCTGATAAGAATCGCTAATAGAAAACAGACACATTGGCGCCGAATTCAAAGCGCCGCATATTATTGCGACCTTTTACAACACTGTTTAATGTCAGAGTGTCAACTATCGTTATCGATAAAGATCGCCGAGGCTATCAACATTCAGTTTGCTAAGTGTGGCCATGAACTTGCCATAAAAAGCACTCTCAGCGTGTCTGGTGGAAAACTTTTAGCACACGCAAATGAGTAGTGAGAGCGAGAGAGAGAGAGAGGGAGAGAGAGAGCGTATTAAAAGTTATTTGACATTCGCTCGCAACACGACCGGCAAATGCAATAACGATTAGTTGGTCACACTTTGTGTTTTTATTTCGTGCAAATAGTAAAATTAAAATTAAAAGTAAGCCAGTTGCAGCTTGTTGGGAGAGAAAAAAACACTAGAACACATGTAATCTTATCTTAGTAAAAATCAACTGTGTTGTATAAAATTGTGATAACAGCGATTGCGCAACGGATTTGTAATTGGTGCATTAAAGATTATTAGCCGCCTAACGGTGCTCGTCGTTTACAGTTATCAGTTGCGGCGCGTCTGGCTCAGCGTAGAGAATACGTGTATTTTGTTGTGCGCTTATCCCTTGGAATAATAATACAACAAATTTATATATTGTGTGAGAACAAAATTCTTTTATTAAAACGGAAAGTTGTGCCATGTTCGCCCTACGCCGCACTCTCAACATGGCCCGCGGGCCCCAGAAATTGATGCTGTGCAGCGCTCTCAAAGCAAATTTCGGCGTCTCTGCAGCGGTAGGTTTAATGCTACACTGTTCCCTAAAGGGAACTGGAGTATATTGGTTTTGATAGAGTAAATTGATTTGAGATGAAAGCTGTACTGTATGCATATCCGAGAATGCCCGTAAGGCAGTGTTAGAAAACAATGTTAGAAAATTCTTTATATAATACACAGTTTTTGATTAATATTGATTATTTGAATTTAATTTATTTTAAACTATTTACTATATAAAAAGAATGCTCTCCCCCCGCCTTGGACTTTTCTAACACTGGAAACAAGGCATTGCACAGTCGGAATATTCCGCTTGCGCTTTCACTCGTTCCTCTCAAATCCGATCAAAGTTCACTTTGGCTTTGCTACTTTTATGTTTTTAATAAAAAGCCAACACAACACAAAGTAAATAATAAAAAATAAAAATCATAATGGACAGTTCGCTTAAAGAGGTGATATCCACATTTGAGCGCCAGCGCTTTGTCAAATACATATATCATAAATTGTTAACAATGTTTAACTCTCAGACATCATCTGTGATTTGCTCTTCCGCACAGATGGCACAAAAGATACGCGCCGGACCCGTTGTCGATGTGCTGGGCGATGAGATGACCCGCATCATCTGGCAGTCCATCAAGGACAAGCTCATCTTGCCCTTCCTGGACATTGAGCTGCACACATACGATCTGGGCATCGAGCATCGCGACAAGACCGACGACAAGGTGACCATAGATTGTGCTGAGGCCATCAAGAAGTACAATGTGGGCATCAAGTGTGCCACCATTACGCCTGATGAGAAGCGCGTCGAGGAGTTCAAGCTGAAGAAGATGTGGAAGTCGCCGAACGGCACCATTCGCAACATTCTCGGCGGCACCGTCTTCCGTGAAGCAATCATCTGCAAGAATGTGCCCCGTTTGGTTTCGGGCTGGCAGAAACCCATTGTCATCGGCCGTCACGCCCATGCCGATCAGTATAAGGCTGTCGACTATGTTGTGCCTGGACCAGGCCAGCTGACTCTCACCTGGAAGGGCACCGATGGCCAAATCATCAATGAGGTTATCAATGACTTCAAGGGTCCCGGCATTGCGCTGGGCATGTACAATACGGATGAGTCGATTGTGGACTTTGCCCACGCCTCGTTCAAGTATGCGCTGGATCGCAAGATGCCGCTGTACATGAGCACCAAGAACACAATCCTCAAGAAGTATGACGGTCGCTTCAAGGACATTTTCGAGGAGCTGTACAACAAGGACTACAAAAAGCAATACGAGGCCGCCGGCATCTGGTACGAGCACAGACTGATCGACGACATGGTCGCCTACTGCATGAAATCTGAGGGCGGCTTTGTCTGGGCCTGCAAGAACTACGATGGCGATGTGCAGTCCGATTCCGTTGCTCAGGGCTACGGTTCGCTGGGTCTGATGACCTCGGTGCTGTTGTGCCCCGATGGCAAGACCGTGGAGGCAGAGGCTGCCCATGGCACCGTGACGCGTCATTTCCGTTTCTATCAGCAGGGCAAGGAGACATCGACCAATCCGATTGCTTCGATCTTTGCCTGGACTCGCGGTTTATTGCATCGCGCCAAGCTGGACAACAACGAGCCGCTGAAGGAGTTCGCTGAGACGCTCGAACAGGTGTGCATCGATACAATCGAGGGCGGCGCCATGACCAAGGATCTGGCCATATGCATCAAGGGCAGCATCAATGCTGTTGAACGCAAGGACTACCAGGAGACCTTCGAATTCATGGACACCTTGGCCAAGAACCTGCAGGCCGCCATTGCCAAGAGCTCCAAACAGCCACAGGCATCGCATATTTAAGTCCATAACACAAGAAAAAAAAACAACATTCATTCATGTCCTCACTGTCATATTTGCCTGTACATAGTATATGTGAATGTGTCCTCAATATTTGGCTCGTTTTTATACTCTACACTCTGCATGTCGTTTCCATGTTCTTTGTCTCTGCGAGACCCCATCAAAGCTTGCGTAAATGTGCTTCCCGCCTTTCTTCCACTCGCCCCCAAAACTATGTGAAACGGAAAAAATTATTTTAAATAAATATTTTTTATACCGCCAAATTCGGTTTGCCCATGTTCTACTACACTAAGCGAGGTCTTTAACCCGGGCATCCGCCCGCCCACACAAAGGGTCTGTTACAGTCGTCGCCTCTTATGTGGGCCACTTGTGCGGCTTCTTGAGCTGCTCAGCTTATTGGATTTGTCGCCCAGCTGCAGCTGACTAGTCTTGCCGCGACGCTCGTGCCAAACGCATCCGTTCCAAAATAGACGAGAACATTAGCAAACCGACAGCTCAGGAGCAGCGCGCAATGTTGGCCAAAGCCGTCGGCTATGGCTATTGCCTGGCCTATGTGCTGGCACTTAGTAGTTGGCCCGGCGCCGCATATCCCGCCAATAGCTATCGGGATCTGGACATATGCAATCACTGGAACGGCAGGCGACACTTCCTGGAGCTGGGCGAACGTGGCGAGCTGCATGCGCGCAATGTCAGCACCACGGCCTATCGAGTGAGTCTTGCAGCCTCCTGCCTTGCGAATCGGTTCCTGAAACTGGTTTTCCACGGGCTCAGGCTGCTTAGGCTGAGTCTCCCTCAAAGGGGTTTTCATTTGAATAGAAAGATAAAGTGGAATTCTGGTTCGGATCAAAGCCTGACCATGACAATATCCTACATCCGTATTCCTTTCTCGCACAGAGCTCGCCTCTGAGCCTCAGGAACGATCTGGCTGCGGTCGATGTGTGGTACCAATGCAATCTGGAGCTGGTCACCTGCGCCGAGTGTGTTATCCGCGTGACCTTCACGCATGCCAACTTCTCGAAGAGCTGCAGCAATACGAATACCAACATGTGTCCCTGCGAGCACATACAGTTCTCGGAACCGCCTTATGACACCACCATCTCCGGGCAGGAGTTCTGTGGCGATGGCAAGGTCTTCCGCAGCAAGACCCGGACTCTGCAGCTCAAGTTCTTCTACAGGGCCACAAATGCGCATGTCTTCTCGCTGCAATACTTCTCCGAGCGTAAGCTTATGCTGATTTCTAACAAGGATTTATTTTGTAAACTGGATAAACCCATTTCGAAGGTAACGTGAGGATTGTTAGCGGCTCGCCCAAGCAGTCCATCGTGGGCAATGGCAATGTCAAGTACCTGCCGCAGGTCATATCGACGCCCTATTTCCCCATGGCCTATCCGCGGGATTATGGCATTGAGCACATACTCACCTGCGAGGCGGACAATTGTCAGGTGCGTCTGGACTTTACCGACTTTCAGCTGGGTCTAGCCTCTACGCTGGAGATCTTTGACTCCAATGGCCAGATGCTGGACTCCTATACGGGCGAGCACTTTCGTCCGCCCATCGCCGTGAGCAGCGGCAAATCTTTGCTGCTCCAGTTTCGTGGCAATTCCGCATCGGGCGTGGGCTTTCGCGCCGAGGTGAGCTTTGTCTCCTCCAAGCAGCTAAAGGACGAGCGACTGGTGCCCTACACGGGTAAGCAATGGCCGGGGCTGGGGCTGCGGCCGGGGCGCACTTGAGGGTCTGCAATTGTCGTCATATTGATTTGAGCACGGTCTCGGGCGGGGGGCCGTCAGGTGGTTCTTATATAAATTTCAATGTCAAGGCAGGCGCTTAAGTGTAATTGGACGACTGTTTGGCATAGTCTAGTTTGGTAATCGGATCGATATTGTCGGGGTAAGTGGGTAAGTGGGCTTAGGGCATGTCGTAAGAGGTAAGAGCTCTCTGAGAACCACATGGATATAAATAATGAAAGATTTTCGTTAGAGATCCAAATACCATTTGATCAGGGGAACATTTTCTAAGGACCAGGCTAGCGAAATACTTGAAGGTATTTTTTTCCATTCTGTTAGGATCCGAATGTCATATGGTTGACTTTACAACGTGTACTTTGGGTAATGGTTATATATATATATCATACATAACAATATGAACTATAATATATAATATCCATTATTACCCTAAGGTCTTAGGGTAAGATTTGCTATGACCATCTCAAGTCATTCAAGTGTTATTTAATAGTATTAGACGGTCTAAGAACATTAAGGTTTGAAAAAGTAAGTCCTTATAACCACACCGCCGGGTGGTCTAGACTGGTTGGATGATCTATAAATTAGGATCCTGAAAGCCTCTGTTGGTATTCTTTACCAACCTTCAGGCTAAAGCAGAATCTCAGGAAATAGAAAAGAGTTTAAGATTGGCAAAATACCTGGAATATTTTAGGCCGGTGGACTAAAATAGTTGGTTGTTAGTGCCTAAAGAAGTTAGGCTTGGCTTGGTTTGGTAGACCATTTGGACTAAGCTAGGACCTCTGAAAACCTCAATTAAAATATTGTAAAATCGAAACCAAATCAAAACCTCAAAGTTATACGTTAAGCATGGACGACTATTCGGCTAGCTAGGACCTTAGGACCTTAGGGCCATAGGACCTTAGGGCCTTAGGACCTTAGGACCATATGAAATATTGGAAAAGAAATGGGTTTGGTTTGGATGATTGAATGTTGGCAGTCCTAGAACTTCAACTAGGAAGACCATTGGACTAAGCTGGGAGCCTTCGAAATTCCTTCCATATATGGAAGATCAAAAAACCTTCATTTAAATCAATTTCCAAACCCTGAATCGAACTAAATAGACTGCGGTGGCATGGTTACGGGACCGGGTGGTGCCATAACTATGATGAACATGATCGAGAACGCGACAGATGTGCGACTCTTTGACTGCATCTGGATTATAAAGCCGGGCAATAACTACATGATGATGAAAACCCACATATCGTTGCGTGTGGATGACTTTTATGGCATGGCAGCGCGCTCGGAGCTGATCATCAGGCAGGGCACCACCTCTGATGCAACGGAAATTGAGAACGTAATGTGGCCAAATAATGGACTCAGCAAGGAGAACCACATTGCGCCCATCTTGACGGGCTACTATATACGACTGCGCGGCGTCTTCGGCATGTCCTCCAAACTGGCCATTGTCTACAGCGTCTTCAACTACTTGAGTGAGTGAGGCTTAGAGGCTGTCAACCCCTTTCCCTTATGCCTGATCCCCTCTACAGATTGCTATATCGGCTCGGAGTTTCTGTGCGGCAACAATCATTGCATCTCAATACGGCTGCACTGCGACGGCTTCGATCATTGCGGCGATGGCAGCGATGAGCCCGACACCTGTGAGGAGGATTGGGCGCATTTGCATCACGACCGGCGCTGGTATTCCCACAAGCCCAACTATTACTTTCCCAAGATCGATCAGTATCCGGATTTGAAGACGGCCACCGGCATATTCATAGTCAGCACCATGGGCATCTTTGGCGTTCTGTCCGGCTGGATGGTCATACTCTATCGCATGGGCGTGCGGGCGCGACATCAGCGCGAGTTGCAAAGCCATTTGCAGACCATTAGCGAGCTGCTCGATCGGCAGGACGAGGAGCGCACGCCGGACGAGCCGCCCAGCTATGAGGCGCCGCCCGACTACGAGGAGGTCATCAAAGTGGGCATGCAGCAGGAGCTGCGCGAGCCGCGTCGCCAGCGCCGACGCCAACGTGGCCGCGATCGCGCCTGCAGCCGGGCGCCCAGCAATTGCACCGTGCAATCGATGGTGCCAGTGCATCGCAGCTGCAGCCTGGATCGGGAGCGGGATCAGGAACAGCCCAGCACCTCGGCGGCGGCTATGACGCGCGCTACAGACGCCGCACAGGATGCTACACAGACGCCGCAGCAGCTGGCCCAGCGCATGCTGCTGGCCACGGCCATTTGTGGTAAGAGATTTGGTTATAGCCCGATTTGCCAGTCGCCCCCCTGCCCCAGGCATCTGCTAATTTATCCTACAGAATCTCACTTGCAGACGCTGCAGGCACGTCTGGCACGCCGGGCGGCACCCGCACAGGCGCGCAGCAATCCGTGGGGCATGCAGCGGGCACGGCATCGCTACCCGCTGGGCGTGAACTATCCACAGCCGCTGGAGCGGCAAGCACGCCCAACAGCGCGGCGGACGACTGCACCGACGCCTTTCGAGACGATTCACTCAATATATCACTCACTCTAGGGCTGCCCACCAGCACAGCCGACAGCGGGAGCGGCAGCTTGACGCCGCCTAACAACCAGAGCCTGACCAGCAACTGCACCGAGCATACGTATCTGAAGCGTTCCTGGCTGCTGGTGCAGCAGACGCCACATGGTCAGCGCTGTCGCGTGCAGCGACTGCGTCACACTTTCTCCTCGCCGGAGGCGTTCTGCGCGCCCGAGCTGCAGCTGCCATATCCGGACTTTTTCAGCTACGGCACCAATATGCCGCACGAGCGCAGCAGCAGCAACTTTGGCTCCGAGCTGTCCCGCGATCCCTCCAGCTACAGCGTCGGGAAGCGTGCGCGCCTGCAGTCGGACCTGACGCTGGAGCCGCCCAGCGACAGTGAGACGGAGCAGCAGGTGTCCTGCTTTGGCGCCGTGGCGCGACGTCGCGTGCGCAGTCGCTCCTTCAGCAGCAGCGCCTCGCGTGCCGGCAGCGGCCCGAGAAGACGCCTCCGGCAGCGCAGCTCCTCGGCAGATCTGCTGATCTATGCGAGCATGCAGCGGGATGGCAATGAGCATGCGGAAGGCAACACATTGCAACGCTTGTTTTTCATATAGGGTGGATTATATAGGAATAGTATTATGGAACGATAGTATTATGCCTGGTGTGATGCTGTTCAGGAACTGGTCTTAAAGCTTAACTTATATAAATTTATACTAGCTGGCATATCTCAGCATTGCGTGGTCCAAGCTTGTGCTCCAATTTTAGTCATCAACTTTCCATCCATTTTCCACGCGTGGAAAATTTTAGTCTATCCTTAATATCTTAATATCTTTACTTAGATAGTTAAGCCCATCGAACTAAGAAACAAAAATTGGTATCAACGTTTTCCACACATGGTCGGAAAGCTTGAAGCCCAAAAATATACTTGCGTTTAGACGAACTTTGACCCGCATTTTTAATTCAAGGGTTGTGGATATTGCGAAAAGTATGAAACATGTCTCCAATTAATTTCCATAAAGATTATTGAAAGTGAGTTTTAAGTTGATCGGTTGGTTAACAAAAATGTTGCATACACATTCCGCTAATTTTCCACAGTTTCGGGTGGAATTTCAATATTCGTTTTAACACGTATTCATTAAGTTCTTATGTAGACCTTTAAAAGCCTCCGGATAGAACTTAAAATGTTGCTCATAAAACCTATAAACTTCATTTTTTTCAGATCGTTTGGCTGGTTAACTATTTCCGCCTATTTTCCACAATTTCGAATGGAATTAGCAAATCGTCATTACAAAAGGTAAGTACAGTAAAAATTGTAATTTCTTAGCTCTTCAATCAATCAATCAGTCAATCAATCATAACAAACAGGCTTTGTATATATGCATATAGAAGTTGTGCCTGAACCCAGCTAAATAACAAAATTACACAGTTCTTTGATAATTTATATGGTATTTTATATGATATATATATATATATAGTAATATATATTATTATAGGTTTCAGCGTATGTGTTTGCAGCAGTGCATGCCAAACTGTACGCAACTTACAGTTGGACGAGCTTAGGTGCGTTTAAGGTGCAAAAAGAAAACAATTCATCCAAAAGAAACCAAAAGTACATACATATATATATGTGTGTGTGTGTGTTAATACTACAATTAGTAAATATATATAAAGTATATATATATATAGACGAATACGATAATATCAAGGGTGTAGGAATGCCTGCTAGCCAGGCGCTGCCTACATCTATCTAGATATATTGAGAGAGACGATGTCTATGGTTGCGATTGCAGCTGCTGTTTGAGATTCTCGGCGAGCAGCGTTTTGCCCGTCTCCAGTGGCCCAACAATATTGCGCAAACTGTCGATGCTGTTGCGCAATTTGGTGGCCTGAAATTTAGTCGGTAATTTCGGGGAGCCGCCAACCGAGGCAAATGCAAAGGCTTTGTACTCCTAAACAGAGAGGGAGTAGAGCAAATGAATCATTTATATGTAGGGGCGTATGTTTTATTTGCAGCAGCAAAAAATGTTCATAAATCAATCAAATCAACAAAGCAGCAAAGTTAAGGCCAATGTAGATGTATAAATCAACTAAATATATATATATATATGGGTATGCATATAAATTCTTCATGTGGGGGGCATATAAATAATGCAATGATACAACAATTGGAGCAGGGTCGATGGCAAAGCAGGAGAGTAACAAGGTTTCTGGTATTCGATACAAGAACGCAGTTTTACAGCCTTTCCAACTAATAAATGGGGTAAACCAATCTAATACTCCAACAACTTAGAAGATAATAATGATATAATGGAAAACAATGCAGAAAGTGGAACTTAAAACTGATTTGACGCTCGAGCGCTTGTCATGTGGGCTTCACTGGGTGGAGTGTCTGGTGTTGGGTCAGGTTACCTGATGGGCGCTCGGCGAACTGGCCTCACTGACTGTGGTCGCCGCCTGGCCCGTATACGACTGGAATGTGGCTCCGGGTTGATCGGCGCGCTGAGCATTGCCGCTGCGCGTGCTCACCTTCTCCTGCAGCGAATTGAATGTCTTGGAGAGCCAGGGCTGCCAGCTGTTGCGATTGGTTTGCAGCTCGCTGAGTGTGTTGTTCAGCTGATGATTCAAGTCCTGATTCTTGCACTCGGCCTCCACCTGTGCCAGCTTGGCTTGTGCCAGCTCCAGCTCCAGTTCGCGTATGCGCTGGGCAGCGACATTTAGTGGATCCAATGGACCCAGCGGCGGCTCATTGGCATTGCGCAGCGGATGTGGGTGACGTTCGGAGCTGCAGCCTGGTGCCAGCTGTTGCTTGGCATTGTCGTTGCCCACATCGATCTGCTGCAAGCAATGCGAGCACTTGGAAACCGTGTGCTGCAAGTAAAACTAGAAGTCAGTAGAGTTCCAAGCCCCTTGGCCACACACACACACACGCACCATAAGCTTGCCCAACGTCTCGTTGAGCGTATTCATATCCTGCTCCTGTCGCTGTATGATCTGCTTGTATTCCTGTATAATACCTGTGTGCTTCTTCTCCTTGTCTACCGCACGCTCGTTAGCGCCGGCCAGTTGCTGTGTTAGTGCCTCAATCTCTGACTGCAGCTTGCGGCGCTCCTCGCCGAAACGATTCTCGTAGATTTGCGCCTCCTTCTCCAGACGCTCCTTGTGCTGTTTCTTTAGCAGAAACTCCTCTTCGTACTGCTTTAACTTTTTGATCTTGCGCTCGCATGCTTGCTTCATGACCTTGCGCGCCTGACTCGAGCTGCGACACTTCTTGGGCAACGTGACCCGGAAATACTTGAGTATGCCTTCGAAATCCAGCTGACGCAGATCTGACTCGCAGATTGACAGCAGTGTCACGGCCACCTGAAAGAGCACAGGCAAACCGTCCAGCAGAAAGACGTCCAGCACATGGAATACAAAACAGAGCGGAAAACGCGCCGTGTAGAGCGTTAGGAACCACTGGGAGGCGTACATGTGCGTCTCAATGCCGCAGGCTGTGAAATGTTCATGCAGCTTGGGCAGCTGATCCTTGATGAGGCGTTCCAGCTGATAGAGTCGCAAATAGAGCACCTCAAAGCCGGCCTTGTAAAGATCACGCAGTCCATAGTCGTACATAAGAGCGACCAGCACGCAGAAGGCATCTTCCTCGGGCATCTAGAAAAATTCACATCATTTTATAAACATTTGCAATACGATGAAAGAGAAAGCTTAAGTACTTAAGTACTATGTCGGACAGATAGACGGAGATGTTTCATGGAGTTAAAGAAAGTCTTCCCATCAACACGTTACATATTTTGTCAGAAAATTAAAGTTCTCTCTGTGAGGGTATTAAAAAATCTCTTACTCACATGCAGCAACAGGCTGGCTGCTATAAAACTGAGGCCCTGGCAGTAGCCCACCTCGCTGTCATGGACGGCATACGCCTTGGATACCTTAAAGAGGGCATCCTGACCGGAGCCGCCGCTCTCCTTGAAACACTTGTGCGCCGGAAAGGTGCGATGTATGTCCCGTTGTATGACTGTCTCGCATTTGGTTTCCTAAAATATACGGACACACATAAATATAAGGCGAGAGACAGCGCTTTCGCAATAAACCGCAAAGCGTCTGTTACTCACTTTGGTGATAAGAATCTTGTACATGTCATTCATTTCCACCTTGCCCTCCACGTTGGCCAGCTTCTGCCAGATCTTTTCGCGCAGTGCCTCCGGTACGCCCAGACGCACCAAGGGCGCCAAGTTTTTGGGTCGCTTCTCGCTGTCCCATTCACGTAAAATGGGATCCCATTCGTCGAGTGTGTCTTGTGAACAATCCTTGGACACTTCGCCGGTGCCGCTGAGCAGCGGCTCATCACCATCGCTGCTATAGTCTGTGGGGCAATCATCCTCAATGGAGGCTATGGACGAGCTGCGCACAATGCGCGATAAATTGTTCATGCCCATCTTTAGCAGCGATGCGGATCCCTGCTGTCCGCTCGGCGGCTCGATGATCTCCTCGGAAGGATCAATGCTGTTCACTTTCCAATTGAGTTCATCGGTGCGTTTGAGATGCAAATAAAAGCGCAGCGTCATCGGTCGCTTGGACATAAAGTGATCCATGATGCGCATGTCACTGGCCGACTGAATAGTTACCGGTGTCTCAATGACAAAGCGCACCGGCTCCTGTATGCCGCGCATTACAATGTCAACGGCTACAGTGAGATTGGTTTTGGACGTTTCCAGATTGAGTTGTTCGAAGGCTTTCTCCTGGGCCTTCCATTCGGCGCGTATGGCATAGGCATTGAGACAAGCGCCCACCGTATCCGGCTCAATGCCTGCGCCCTGTGCCGGCACATAGCCCATGTTCAGCATATCAATGAGATGCATATCCTTCTGCACGACAAGCTTGCCGGGCGCGACAAGCACGCCAAAGCAGCGCTCAATATACAGCGGCTGCAGCACATTCGAGGCCGTCTGCTTGACGGTGATGGACACCTCCTTGTCCGTATTGGCGCGCAGCTTGAAGCAGCCACGATCACGCGGCACAGGCGCATACGAATTCTTGGCCACCTTCTCGCGTATCTCCAGCGAGACAATAAACTCATAGCCAGCGGTATTTAAGGGATTGCCACTAACATCCGATGTCACCGAGTTGACCATGTCCACGGCCGAGGTCAGGCTGCAGCTCATGCTGGGCGCATAGGTCTGAAAGGCCTTCTGAAAGCAGGCTGCAAAAGTACATATATGTATACAAATGTGAATCATATTCGTAACTGTTCATCCTGGCCAACCCACCGCTCACTTGATTCACCGCCTCGGGTATATGGCAACGGAATACATGGCATTGGAACAAAGCATCTCCGTGCAGCCACGTGAAAGCAAAGCAGCCATTCTCAGCGGTATCCACGGGCCCGCGATAATACAATATAATGCTCGATATTTCATAGGTGGCTATAATCGTGTTGCTCTCCGCATCGTGCAGACTGAAAGTAAATACAAATAAAAGCAATTATAAATAACAAATATTATCAATTATAACTAGCCTGTCTTGAGCTGATGTTTCTATAGACGAATTTTAAAAGGCTTACAAATGGAAGAAGTTAACAAACTTCTTTCTAAACAAATAAATAATTCCTAATTAAACTCTACTAACATATGTTAGCTTATTAGAGTATAACATTTCAGTAACAGCACGCCACTGAAAGCTTTTTCACATATGTTAATGCAAGTAACAGCACGCTGCTAACAACTGTTTAACATAATATGTAAATGTTATCAAAAGAGTGTTAAAATTGTAAAGTTCTTTGTTTTCTTTGTCACACAAATTAACTTATCACATAAATGTGTCCAAAAGCACGTTCCTAAAAGTTGCTCAACATATAAACAAAATGTTACAAGAATTTACATTACTTACACGACCAGACCATCGGAACAGTTGGGTATGCTGACGGTAATCTTGAGGCCCACCGATTTGGAGCCGCTGTTAAGTTCGCTCATAATGCGAAAAACATCCGTTTCGGACTTGGGCGCATTGATATTGGCAGCGCCCAAATAGGTAACGCCAGCGAATATGGTGCAGCCCTGATCGATCTCTGAAACTAATGTTAGATAAAGCTTAGAGCTGGCAGAGATACAATTTGATGTGCAACTCACCTTCCTCATCGGTGGTATCGCATTTCTCCGGCTTCATGGCATCCTGTTTCTCCTCAATGCACGCCGGACTGGCATCGATGCAGTCATAGAATACCGACTGACCCACACGATTCTGCTCCGAATTGGAGGCATCCTCTGACTCATCGCAGGCTTTGGGCGAGAACAAGCTGCATTTGAAACGCATCTCCGAATCGCCAGCGGCGGCTGTTTGTGTTTTGCGACCAGCGAGTGGCAAAGTCAATGATTTTTGCTGTTGCTGCTGTTCTTGTTGTTGTTGTTGTTGTTGTGATCGCTGCTGCTGCTGCTGTTGGTCACGCGTCTTATCGGCGACAGCTGCAAATGTTAATTGGCAATTATGACAAAGTGCTCTATGGTTAAATATCGTATTGATCTTTTATATTATGCTTTAGGTTTGAATCGTTGCTTTTGTGTAACATTTTCTGTTTGTTATTTGTTGCCATGACAGCGATTGGTATTCAATTTATGCAGCTTGCCCAGATAAGATTGCGCACTGGGCTTACTGAAGGGGCTTTAAAAGGCGCTTGCGCCCAAATTGGGAACGTAACAGCGACGTTGTATGTGCACAGTTGGCTTCTGGTAAACAACTGCCGACGCGGGGTTTTCTTGCTTTTTCTCCTTATTTTTTTTTCTTGCACTCGCACTATTCAGTTGTGTGCGGTAGTGTGTGTGTATGTATGTTACTCACCGGCCAGTGCGTTGCGTTCCAGCTGCAGGTCACGCAGTGCGTCCGTCATTTCGTGCTGAATGTCGCTGAGATTGCGATTGTGCGCCATGTCCAGTGTGGGCGAACAATCGCCGCAGCTAGCATCGCCGACGGGCGACAAGGATAACGTGCTCAGCGATTCGGTTACCTTTGCGACAACTGTCGCAGCGGCTGCTGCTGCTGCTGGCGGCGGCGGCGGCGCCAACTGCTCCAAGGGAGTTGTTACATTGCTGTCGTTGACAATCTCGTATTCGCCGCTGGTTGTAATCGAGGACTCCGAGGATTTGGTGCTCAAATTGTCATCCATTATGCAGGGCTCCACTGTGTGTGTGTGTGTGTGTGTGTGCGTGCGTTTGCTTCAAGGTTGTTTTAGTTTCGAGCTGTACGCAGCCACGAATTTCTGGCGATTGTTTATTCGACAAGTTGCTTACGAAATGCGCATTTTCTTGCGGTTAAACAAACGTATTTCTATTTTTATTCAATTTCAATTAAGAGTTCTTTTAATTTTCAATGCACCTACACTCCATTGTTTGGCTTGTGCCTTAAATCGATGACGAATCGGTACGTTACTGTTGGGGTTTGTTGGGGGGCGTCAATTGCGCTGCATAATATGTGTGCCTGTATATGTGTGAGTGTGTGTGTCGTATGTGTGTGTTGTTTGCTTGACACAAAAACTATACTCTATACGGTAGGGTGGCGCTAATGTCGTATTTGGGGTCAATAGTTTGCCTTCTTTGCGTACTATGTATAGATTTTTGTTTACATATTTTTGGCGTGTTGGTAAACGTTGCGCACTTTTCAGTGTTGGCAGCTGGCACAAAAGTACGTCTGTTGTACAACATGCAGACCTTCCACAAGGTTGACAGGACGAAAATTCATAATACAAAGGATTACGTTTCTTTAACAAAAAATGCTCTGCCGCGTGAACCAAACTTTATTTAAAGAGCCACTCAATTAATACCAGAGGCTGACTTGTGGCAAGAACTGCAGCTTTTTATATCCTGTGACTAGCACACATTCCACATCAATTTACCTGCGATCCAACAAAAAAACAACAACTACCCAACACAGTTTCGAAACTCTTGCAGAACTGATTGTTATCGATAGTGGCGATAGTTTTACCGCGCTGTCTGACCAAAAAAAACGTGCGCGTGCTGCATTTCGTTGTAATATTTATTTTAATTATTTCCCAAATTTCTGTTCGCTGTCAGACAATATTCAAATCTCAACGAAATGTGGCCGCGTTTTGGCATTAAAATTGGTAACAGCACAATGTGCATTGCTTACGTAAGATCCGACGGCAAGGCAGAAGTTATTGCTAACAAGCAGGGCGACCGCGTCTCGCAGGCATGTTTGCTGTGGAACGGCGACTCGGAGACCGAGTGCGGCCTGACGGCCAAACAAAAGATGGCCACACGACCCAAGCAGGCGGTGGCGCACAGTTTCCAGCTGCTGCAGCCAGAGGCAGAGCTCAGCGAGGACAAGCTGGCCAATGCGCTGAAGGAAGTGCCCTGTGAATATGACAAGGAGGCCTTTGTGTTTCGCATGGAACACACAGTGCCAGCGGATCGAGATGATCAGGACGATACGATAGTCACAAAAGAGATGAGCGCATTTGAGGTCACCGTCGAGCTGCTGCGCGCCGAACTGGAACTGGCGCGACAATATCACACGGATACCGAACATTCGCCCATTGCGGTGCTCTCCATACCCAGCTACTATCCGGCACAGTCTTTCAAGCTGCTCTCAGATGCTGCCAAGGCGGCTGGTTTTCATGTGGCACAAATAATTGCGGAGCCCACAGCTGCTGTTTTGTGTTATAAAATTGGCGAGGAGCAGACAGAGCCGGAACGGGAGCGTCAGCACGTGCTGACCATCAAATGCGGCGGACTGTATAGCGATTTCGCCCTGTATGCCGTGCAGAATGGCTACTTCATTGAGCTGGCCACCTTTGGACCTTTTCCCATTGGCGGCCGCCAGTTCACCGAGGCGCTGGTGCAGTTCATCTGCGAGGAGTTCAAGCGCAAGTACAAACTGGATCCGCACGAGTCACGTCGTTCGCTGGCCAAAATACGCACCGCTGCGGCCAATTGCAAACATATACTGACAACGCTGCCGTCCACGCAGCTGTACATAGATTCGCTAATGGATGGCGTGGATTTCAATGCGCAAATGTCGCGGGCACGCTTCGAGAGCCTCATCCAGCCGGTGATCAATGGATTTATGCAGCAGCTTGGCGAGTGCGTGGAACGCGCACAGCAGGAGCACCCAGAGCTGAAGCGCATCGATGATATTGTGCTGCTGGGCGCCACCATGCAAATACCAAAACTGCAAGCGGCTGTGGCGGCACGCTATCCGGATGCCAAGCTGCACAACAGTCACTCGACGGACGAGGTTGTGGCCATTGGCTGTGCGCGTCAGGCTGTGTTTCTGCTCGATCCACTGCAGGCACAGCTGCAAAAGGCCGACGACTGTGTGCTGGTCGAGGATGATTTGTACATTTGGCATGGCAACGATGAGACCAATGCAAAACTGGTGCTAAGCAAAGGCAGCATATTGCCGGCCAAGATCAAAGTCTCGCTGCCGCAGTCTGGTGAGGGCGATGCCATTGATGCCCTGGCCTCGTTCAAGCTACGCGCCGGGCAGAGCGAAATAATGGCGCATCTGCCAGATACGACGCCAACCATAGACGACGGACTGTTTCAGCTGGAGGTGGAAGTGGATTGGGATGACAAAGATGGTAATATAGTGCCATTGGTGCGACTGCGTTGCATGTGAACTCAATCATTTAGTCTATTTATTGTTGGTAGCCTAATACTTATAATACGACGAGTTTATAATAAATTCAAAAGCTTCAATCAATTATGCTGTGAGTTGTATTTGATGCTGCCTTAAAAATCCATCGATTTGGTCTTAAAATTACGCTCCAGTTTACGCAGAAACTCCTCAAATACGACTACACCCTTGAACATGCTGGTCTTTTTGTAATCCTTGATGCGACTCTTGTCCTCAGGCGCCTCCATATAGCTTTTCGTCTTGTCATCGTATGCGTTAATCTCCTGCAGCAGCTGTGAGATGGTGGGCACCGTTGTCGGATCAAACTTGGCCACGGCGCTGACACTGAAGGGTATGCACACCTTGCCCGTAGCCGGATGTATGCAGAAGGGCGCCTTCAGCAAGTGATTGAAGCCCTTGGTTACATTGATATCCAGCCGGGGGTAGAGCAGGCACAGCTGCACCTCCTGCACAATATGCTTCAGTTTGCGACTCCAGACATTGGCTGCGCTGGTGCGCATCGAGTTCGCATAGCGCACAAAGCTGTCCCAGACGAGCTTCGAGTGGGCGCCATCCTCGTGCTGCTTCTGCAGATACGACTCCAAATCGTTGCGTGCCGCCTCATCGCTCACCATTTGCAGCAGCCTATTAACGCCCTTGGGCGTGCCAAACAGATTCTGATCCTCCAGCACAATCTCCTCAAACATGGGCTCCAAAATCTTTAAGGCACGCCGCAAGCTATGATGCGTACGATCGCCCATCTGAACGCGTGCCGCATTATTCGTGTAGGTGAGTATGTTCAGGTACTCGGCGACAGCTGCACGTGCTCGGGCGTCCAGATGACGCGCCGTGTGATCGCACACCCAGCAATGTATGCCACGACGGCCGGAGAATATCCAGAGCATGTGCTCGAAGCCGAAATCCTCGCGTAGGGCAGCATCAAGAACGCGTGCCGCTAACATCATAAATTTCCAGCACTTGAGGCAAATCTCCGCACCGGAGCAACAGTTGCGTATATCATCGTAGTCCGTAGCATCGATATCAAAGACCAATTCACGCTGCACGGGCGCCAATCCACCAGCCACAGTGCGAAAGTTCTTCGGTCTGGTGTTCATCACGGGTCCAATATCGATTTTATAGGGATTACGCGAACAGATCTCTTTCTCCAGCTCTGCTTGGGTCTCAAAGCACAAGTAGCGTATGTAGATATCATCTTGCAAAGTAAATGAAATCTCCCGATTGACAAATATATTGTCCTCCGCTGCAAATTGAAAAAGGTTAGCATAACTCCCAGCTAATAAATGGATGGCACTTACAGTGTCCATAGTTTAGCCAACGATAGAAGGGCTCGTGTGGAAAGAGGCGTCTGTAGTAGACAGGCAGCATATCCGGCAATATGCTGGCATCATAGACGGGTGCTTTTGATTCCTGCGGCGCCTGCGGCTGAGATTCCTGATCTGCGCTCTGCTCCGGCATTTTGACCTGTTCTATAATTCACAAATTAAATATAAAGAGAACGCTTGAGAACAGATGAGGACTTTTATATTACTACAAAACTAGTTGAATTTAGACATATCAATAGAAGATTATCAAAATCTGCAAAACTTACTTCTTTGACTTTATGAAAATCGCATAGAGAGGCGATACTTGTGATAGGAAGTGCGCGTATGTATGAAAGAGTTTAGATTAAAACTCTTTGGTAGTGTGAGAAACTAAAAAAAATAGTACAGATTTTAAGTAACATTCTACTATACCATACAAACATAACTTATGTATCCAAGATATGTAAGCCCTACTTAAGATTATCAGAAAATATAAATGCGACGTAGAAGAGAAGTAATTTTAACTGCGTCTGAGAATCTACATACTTAGTACCTCCGACTCTCAGAGACCATGATCGATGAATACATTCAAACGGTCGGAAGTGTACGTGTTTTCTATAAAGTAAATTCTAAATAATTGTGTGTACAAAAAACATTTAATGGCGATAAGAAAACTACTTGTAATTCTTTTTTGTCGAAACCTTATTGCTATATTTATACATATTTTTTTGATGATTTTTTTTTGTTGTTGTTTTGTTTCTTTTTTAAAGAGAAATACACGTTTTGAGCTTAAAATATTTAGATATTTTAACGACATGCAATTAAAAAATACGCAGCTAATTAATTGTCAGTAATGAATCGAGTCAAGTTGGGTCGAGTTAACACAATGGAATTATAGAACCGCGAAAAGAATATGGTCAGTGAGTCTGATAAATTTGCTTAGCGACTATATAGAAATTCTATATATATATATATAACTATATATAATCGTAATGTAACTACTAATCGTTTAAAGTCTAGGTTAGATCATTTTGTTGTTGTTGCTTAAAGTTAGGTTCATTAAGCGTCACAGAGCCCACACGACCACACTCAAACACGCACGCACACGCACACAGATACAGATACAGATACAGACAGAAATACAGCCTGGACAACAGCCAGCTGCTGTTTTAGGCGACAGTCAGGCGAATGTCCTGCATTTTATGCTGCTGCCAGGAATGCGCCGGCTGTCGTGGCGGTGCCGTATTGTACAGCGTCACGGAGGCGATGTGATTGTTGGGCATCACCTCGAATATCAGATCCTGATAGCCATAGCAAAAGGTCGAGCCAAAGGGATTCGCTGTATTCGTCGAGCTGGCGCGATGCAACACCACCGGACGCTCTGATGTGGCCAGCGAGCCACTTATTTCATCCCATTTGGTGTAGGCAGTTATATTGACATGATCATGCTTGCTCTCGCTCTCGCCAGGCTGATGATCCGTCTCCAGCTGGAACTGGAACTCACAGCGATGATACATATTGAAATTAAAATGGCCCGGATAATTGGTGTGCAGTATGAACTTTTTGCAGGTCTGTGTGCGAGCGTCGAACAACACATCGATGCCCAGGGTGAAATAGTTGAAGAATATATCGCTGCGTTTGCTCTGCACCTGGCGATTGACGCTCGAGCTGTGTATCTTCATCTTGTCCTCGCTCTTGAAGAAGATGCGATTTGGTGCGCCCAAATTGGTGGCCACATCCTCACAGCTATCGCCAAAGAGCAGCTCACGCGTAAAGCACTGACGGCGTGGCTCCAAGGCGCGACCCGAACCCTCCGTGAAGAGTTTCAGCTTCAGACCCTTGGTGTGGCCATATGAGGTGCGCAGCACGGTGGCCGACTCCAGATACAATTGTCTATGATAGCAGGCCAATGGCAGTGAAGGCGCACGATTTTCAGCAACATTGCTGCCCGCATACAGTGACATTTTGGATACCACTGGCGAGGCGCCATTTAGAAAGACCAGCGAGCCGAGGCCATGGGCATAGCCCGAGTGCAGTTTGCTGTCCACGGGAAAATAGAAGCTCAGTCCGCGAAAGTGCAGCGCAAAGAGCTGCTTGGCCGCATCGTAGACGCCCGGATGGGTGGCGCCAAATGAATGCTCGATTTGCTCTATGCTGGGCAGCACTTCGGGTGAATTGAAGTAGACGCCGCAGTATTTCAGCTTCGCCAGCTTCATGTTGAACACTTCGATGGTTTTCAGGCGCTGCACAACCGGATCAAAGATCAAACGTAGTCCATCCTGTGGCAGATTTATGATGATGTCCACGCCCAGCGGATTGGTGTCGGAGTAGAGCACTTGTACGCCCTTTATTATGCCCACCTGCGATTGTATGATGGCTATGGCCTGAGAGAAGTGCATGCCCAGCACAAATTCCCAGGCATCGCAGCCCAGCGAGATCTCTGGCACAATTTCCAGGTCGAGCATATTCTGTGCAAAATGTTGTGTTTTGTTCGTTTTTTTTTTTTGTTGATTATTATATGTAATTTTTATTTTTACTTTTGCCACCTTACTGACCTTGATATGTGAAATCAGCTGCGACCCACGAAAATATGCGCAATTTCGTGTTGTTTTTTTGTTATTGTTTTGTCTTGTTATTTGTTCAAGTCCGTTGTTTCTTCTCCGCCCCTGTTTCGTGTTGTTGCTGTTTGCTGTAGTCGCTGCTTCTGCTATTATTCTCGCTTCAATTTTGCACGTCTAATTATTTGGTTGCGTAAACGTGTAATTTTAGGCGTTTTGCAATTTATTATACAGCTTAGCGTATTTTCTAAAGAATATTGTCGATTTCTAATACACACTCCGAACAAAGGCAAAAAAAAAGGCAAATGCGCAGCAGAAATACAAATGTAATGTAATAACAAAGTTGAAGTGTTGCCAGATCGGGCGAACAGCTGATTTTGCAAATTTGTGAAATTATTCTAAAGCTACTTAGTAACTGCATGCAAGCTTATAATTATAAATAATATTGACTAATTCATCCAGTAATTTATGTAAACAAGTCAACAAATGGGTTCATTTTATTTTTTATAAGTTTGACTGCCTTCAGGTGGCAACGTTCACTTAGAACGCAACAGCTGAGTTAGGCAGCTGCACAGTAATTTTTGGCGCGCTTTTTCTTAATTGTTTACGCTTACCTTTTGTTTTTATTTGGATTGATCTTGGGGTGCCAACAATTTCCAGACAATTTCTATCGTTTAAACTGCCGAGTGATGCACTTTATTTAATTTAAATCAATAAATATACGCTTAATTTAAGTATTACAACGACGACGAAATCACGCACTGCGCTCACATTAATAAAAAGTGTGACCAGCTTATAAAAGTGCTAAATTACCCACAAGTTTTCCTTTCGTATCATTACAAGCGCGCCAAAGAGCACAGTGAAAAAAGTTCTCATTCCTTCCGCACATTTTGCATACAAATACTTATTTCTATTGTAAAAATCATAAAATACAATACTTATACACTTTGCACACCGCTCTCTGGACAGCTGGCCCCACATTTAACACAACTAAAGTTCGCATCTGTCATCAAATTGGCGCTTAAACAATAATAGCAATATATGTGCCCGCAGCCCATGTGGTGCGGCAGCGTAGGACGTTCGCCGCAATAGCTGCAAGTGGTGTTCGTCGTCATTTTTGCGGCAACAAGTTCCCTCGTAAGACTTTCCCGCCGCCGGACATGCTGACCCTCCTCTCCAAAGAAGCCAACCTTCAAAAGCCTTTGGATCTTTCGAAAATTGATAATCGGCAGCAACAGACCCAGAATTTCCTGTAAGTTTAGATTTGATATTTATTGCTCAGAAACTTGCCCGCACTTACATACCATAAAGCCGCCCCATAGCAGTTCACGTGTCAGGTATTTGTAGCCAATGTCGCGTCTTTGATTGTTGCGCAAACTGATGTAGTCCAAGCCCAGCAGATAGTCAATCAGTGTGGGCTTTCGCCCGGTCTTTAGAAATCGAAAGTAATTGAGCACATTCAGAACCAAGGCACTGTTCTCTGTCCAGGTAATTGCCCGGCTAAACCATTCAACATGGCGCGATAAACGCTTCTCCTCCCAGCTCTTCACATAGCCCGGCAGCACGGTTAATGCAAAGTGTAGGGCCAATCGGGAAACAGTTAGTTTCTCGGCGTCGTAGGCTAATACCAACAGCTGCTGGCCAAATGTGGAGCAACGTTTGCCCACGGAGCCAAACCAAATGGCCGATTGTATAAGTAAATCCAATTCTGGTTGTATTTTGATAAACAGCACGGGCTGAAATTGGGTTAAGATTATGTAGCTGGGCCATCATACTATTTATTTGTGTTACCCACCGATATGGCTTGTAAATTCTCCAGCAGATTATCCCGTATCATGCGGGATATGTCCTTGTTGAGGTAAATGGCATCTATCTGGGTTTATAATTAGCTATTAGGTTTTGTTGTTGGCTAAGGAAACTGTTTACCTGATTTACGCGCGGCACATATTTATTTTTGGCCAGCATTCTGTTTACCTGCGCCTCGTTCGCATTTGCCTGTTGTACTCTGCCCTTTTGTTATCATTCTGTTTATTTGGCTTAGCAAGTGTGTACACACTGCGAGTTGACAGTCAAAATGTAAAGCGCTATGTTAATTAACAGCATTCGAACAGCAGCTACTCCGCGCTTTAACATTTGCTCCACATATAAAATATTCAACAAAAATGAGTTTTAGCTAAAAATGTCAGTTACCACAGAGTATTTTGAACTTTTGTTCAAACTTGTCAGCCTCTTAACTCTTCAAGTGTTTATCTAATCATTTGTTGACAATGCTATCAACTATTTAGTTTTGTTTTTGACCATTTAGGAAGCAATTTCGCAGCTTATGTAATTTCAATTAAAACAAATACAACTCGTTCCAAGGCGGAAAATATGTCTGTCGATTTCTTGTAATTTATTTTTATTGCTTATACGACGCGTAAACCAGTTGAACATGTCACGGATTTAGACATAAAACCATAAAGACTGACAAATGTTGACGGCCTTAAGTGCAAGTTCATTGCCTGGCAAAGAAATGTAGATAAAATATTGAAAATCGTAGTTTTTTGATTTATAAAAAGTACATAATTCACATTATTTTTATTACACAATTTACAATTCATTTGTTTGTTCTCTGCAACAAATATGTCATTCATTTAACGCAATGAAATTATATGGTATGGTTATAGTTTATAGATTGATAAATTCGTCTGAGTGAATGAACTAGTCTCGGAAGTGGATGAATCGTAGCAGATAGTGACTAAGAAACAGTTGAAAGTTAGATTATAGTTGAGTAAGTGGAAATTATTTGCTATCACAGAAATAAAATACGTTATTAAAATGATATGATATAAGTATTATGGAGTATTATAATGCATCATGCACTCGGACAGTGGTGGAGTGCATGGTTCTTGTCAGTGTCCTAATTACGAGATATGAAGCTGATTACATTACATGGATCCTTCGATTGTGTGAGAGTGTGTGTGCGTGCTTGTGTTGGGGTGTTGATGTGTGTCTGTATGCTTGATGATGCGGCTTTATCAAAATTTGGCTAACTCTAGTGTTAAACATAGTTATGGTCTCATGTTTTAATGCTCTCTATTGTGGTAACGTGCCTTAGTAGTGATGCTCGTGATGATCGTGGATCTCCTCGTGGTGGTGCACGGGCGCCGTCTTGTGGACGACGGCATTGAAGCCATTGTGCTTGTCGGCGGTGTAGTCAACGGTGCGTATGGAACCATCGGGCTCCACCAGCGAGTACTGACCCTTCACGGTGTCGCCGTCGCGAGTCTCGTGCTGTGACTTCACATCGCCGGTGTGAAAATCATTGACGCCATACTTGAAGGCATACTTGGGCGGTGCCTGAGGAAAGTTATGCTTCATAATTAAAAACTGCCCGCATTTGCCAAAACCCAAAACGCAACTCACATAGTAATCGACATGCTCGTCCTCGGTATGATGCTGCTCCACCTCGTAGTGGGGATGCTCATGTCCATGCTCTTCGCCCAGCGAAATGCGCTCAATCTGATGCTGATGTCCATAATCGTGTATGGGCTCAGCCTCGTGATGGCCCAAATGCTCGTATCCGCCGTGGCTCTCCTCATAATAATGATGATCCACCGGATAGGCCAGGCTCAGGCACAGAGCCGACGCAAAAATCAGATACTGCAATTGCATAATTGGACATCGGCTTAGCTAATTGTTTGTTAACATGACTTGTTGAGGTCTCGCAATTAGCGTTGGTTCAACAAGTGTTTGCGGAAAACCCGCCGCAACTTGCTCTCAACATTTTTTCATTTCGTTTTTTTCTGTTTTTTTCTTTTCTGCGCATATTTAATGAATTGTTAGTTGTGGTTTTTTGTAGTTGTTGTTTATCTTTTGGCTACTTGGTTTAATGACTTGTGACTTAAATTGTAACATTTACTTAAATTGTGGTTTAAATGTGGTTATTCCACTTGAAATACGTCTGGTTTTTTCAGATTATCATATAAGTGTTAAAGATATGTGATACTTATAAATAAATATATATATATGATATATGTATCTGGGGGAGTGAATTTGGATTTATAATAATTCTCGTCAGATAAATGATGGAAATCTATTTAATAAAATTGTGTCTTTAGTCTTCTAAGAAAATTTATTTAAAGCTGTCAAATGGCTCAATTTTGAGATCGTTTTGATTTTTAAAATTAATTAATTTAATTTTTATTGAATTAATTAAATAATTCGAATTGAGACTTTATCTCAAGGTCTTCCAAAATGATTTAAATTTTAAACCTTTTGAGAGTTTTGTTTAGATTAATTAATTTCTTAGGCTATCATTAGAAGAGTTTTTGTTGGGCCTATTATTCCTAATTATCAGGCATAAAACTGTTTAAAGTCCAAAAACAGGGTAACAATAAAATGAATATGTCGTAGATAAGAAGCAGTTGACCAATACCTTTGGGTTACCCTTTTGTTTTTTTGGTATTATTTGGCAGATAACCTAAAACTTTGTATATCAAACCGTAGGCTATCTTGTTGTCTTATTGTTTCTTTCGGCTAGCTTATCTTTCAATTTACTATATACTTTATGGCGTATTAATAAGTGGTAAACAAAACTTTAAACAAAATGTATCTACAAAAAATATTCTCATTTAAATTTGAATTCTATTTTTTTGTTATAAAAAAAATGCTATAACTTTCCACTGTGCTCTACAGAAATATTCTTATTAAAATTTTTAATATATTTTTTTTGGATTTCCAATATTCGAGCTCGTTTTTAGCATCTTAAGAGTTCCAATAGGGGATTCTCCTTTTAGATTATAATTTTCCCTTGATGCATTTTAACTAAATAGTAGCCCTGCGATGCTCTCTAGTTAACTGTTTAAAATTTGCACACATCACTTTGGTGAATAATTATTTTTAATAGTATCATAAATATTTGGAATATTTGTAGTTTGTCTGTTTGAAACACTTTGCAACACTTGTATGATAGTTGAGATCCTTTAAGGATGTCGTTAAGCACTTCAGTTTATTGTTTACACTTTGTGCATGCTTTGAGTATCCTTGAAAACTGTATCCTTCGGCTCACCTTAAAGGCCATTTTAATAGTTGGTGGTTTTATATGCTTTAATTGTAAGTTGATTTTTTGTTGGTTTTGGTTTTATTGACGTTCCACGAGCTGCACGCAACGGGATTCCACAACTGAATAATGTGGTTGCAACGAGCCACCGTCGCTTTTATATAGTTAGGAAGAAAGTCAGACAACGAAGCCGGCGTCGCAGTCGCTGCTGAAGCCAGCGACGGCAGTGAGCGGCGCACCACCAATAGAGATCTGAAAATAATGTAAAACAGTTCAGTTAGTAACGGTAGCTAATGTGTGTGTGCCAGTGTGTGTGTGGTTAGTAGCGGCTAGTAAACGTTATTGTTAGGATTTGGCCTGGATGACGCATTCGGTTTTGCAAAAAAAAATTTGACAGCGACAATTTGACGTTAAGTTAGCTCGTGAATACTTTTTTTTTGGGTATTGTATAGCCCGGCTCTATAACTCCATTAATCCCCCTGCTGACGGGTTAGTTACGAATTCCATCATTAAAGCGCAATTTGACCCAAATTTTGGCTAAACTTTGCCATGATTTTGATTTTGGTATTGTACTGCTGCTGCTGGGGCAACTTTTGATCTTCTATCGTTTACTTTAAATGCGCTAATCGTAAATTGTAAATTGTGCATTTTGGCCGCAACAATAAAAAAAAAAAAAACAAAAAAACAGAGAGCGTTATAAAGCCACCAACTTTTGTAAGATTTAAGTGTTTCTCTTGCTGCTGGAGGCCTTTATTTCGGATGGATTTTCATTAGCTGCACGTCGTTTAGATTGTACTTCAGATCAAAGTTAAGTGCAACAGCAACAGCAGCAGCATTGAGAAATTGACCAATTATTTTGCGTCAATTTTCAATTGAACGATTTTTTTTTTCGGAGCGCCCCCAAGGAGGTTACTTCAACTGCTCCACACTCTTGGCTAATTAGGCAACGGAGCGTATACTCGATGCATTTTGGACAATCAGCCAGTCAGAGTCTGCTTGGTGCTGCTTGTGGTCTAGCTTAGAAGTAATGCACATATGTCTGCGATTTGTAAATGCTTAAAATTACACAAAAGTCATTTTGGTTTAGAGCATGGCGCACTTTTTTGTAACAAATGAAGGCCTATAATAGGTTTTGGCTATTGCTTGTAATAAGCCATAATGAGCAGCAATTTGTTTAGCCTTGAATGCAGTTGAAGATTGGAGTTTGTTCAATCAGGAAAAATGGAATTTGTTGGGTGTAAACAAAAGAATGTAGACACGTTAGGCATGTAATGTTGCTGAGGAGAACCTCTTAAGATCACGTTGTATGCAAAATAACAAGAAATAAACAGAATTAGAACTGCAATATTTTCATATTTTATAGCCTTTTATAAAATCTATTTGTTTAGTTTTATTGTAATAATATTTATGAAAGCATTGCAGGATTGAAAAGGGTTAACCACATAGGCAGGACATTTTACAACACTGTTCAATTGGTGATTATTTATTTAAAATCGATTTCTTAAACAGGAACATAAAGATAAGGTTAATTCTATTGCCCTATATGAGGCATAATCTCCAATCTTTTAAGAGCTGTCTTAAAGGGAAAGAAAAATTCTAGCTTGCACTTGAAAAAATACAGTATACACTAAACACTTTACAGCACTTCTTTTAAGTGCTTAGAAATGAAATAAATTCCTTTGAGTATGCCAAGAAAGATGACTTAAAGGCAATTCTATTGGTTTAAATTAAATGCAATATTCTTAGGAAGCAAATAAAGTTAAAGGCTTTACATAATACCTAAAACTCGTTATATGTTTTACAACACTGTTAAAAGTGTTTGCAAATAGTTGCAGCTACTTAGTTAAGCTGTATGTAAAAACCGTCTAGCTTAGTCTCTCAGTTATAAAAGAGTCTTTTTGTCGCAGTTTTGTAAGCTCAAGCCCCCTTACCAGATATATAAAATAAACAATTTATTTTTATTTATCTCGCAAGACTCTTAAAGCATGATTTATTATGCCAAATTACGAAACTTTCCCACAGTTGAAGCTAGCATCTTTTTATTTATTTTTGTGTTTTTTCTAAATTCTCAACCATTTGCATTCGCTGCCCTATTTGGCTTTGTTTACCAATCTCAGCATTGCCTTTGCAACATCATCAACGTCATCCTCAGCGTTGCCGTCTCCCACTTTTCATAGCCTCAATTCTCAAGATCGAACTGAGTTTACCTCAACAGTGTTTTTTGTGCAGGTTGATGTACGTTTAAACGCAGCCACAAATTTTAATTGCTATATTTAAAGTCGACAACATTTGACAACGCTGCAAGGCATGACATGCCAAACGAGCGAAGCAAAAAGCCAAATAACAAAACAACCAAACAACGACAACGAAATCAAACAAAAAAAGAAAATATATACTTTTTTTATGATGATTACCAATCCGCAAATCCCGAATTCAAAAAGCATTTACACGTACCACAAGAAATATGGCAAATCAAATAAATGCTTAATTATGGTCTACATGGGGACTCTCCTCATGCGTGTGTGTGTGTGTATGTGTGCAGGTGGAAAATATAACGCAAGTCAACATGCCACAGACACGACTACGAGCTGCAGCTGAAGTTGGAGCTGTAGTCGGAGCTGGCGCTAGAGCTTGAGCTGGTGTAGCATACCAAAAAGCCAACGTCTCTTTTTTGAGATGTTTTGCAATTTGGCGAAGCGACGCAAATTGAACGCAATGTTGATACAATTTTCCAGTGCCCGGTCGTCAGCGTGGCTTTTTATTTTCATTTTATGCCAAATGCGGCACTCCAATTAAGCAACACAATAATAACACATGAACTGGTAAAATACTCTACATCTAAAGATAAAATGCATGAAGTTGATGCTCGCTTGTAAATATACATACATACATGCATAGAAATATACATACATACATTCGTACTTTCATACATGCGTTTTTACATCCACATACCTACACATACATACATACATACATAAACTTATACATGTTTAGATACATACATACATGCATAGATTGATATATTCATATGCATACAAGCATATATATACACATATGGTCACGCATGGAAATAACTTACAAACTCACATACTCACACGTCATACACATACATACACAAATTCCTACATACATACACACATTCATTCGGTAATTCATATATAGGACATTTTTAACATTAATTTATTCACTCGTGCATAGATTGCTAAGGACATATGAACATGCGTTCATACAATCATACATATTTACATACATATAGAGACAGACTTGATCTGTATTTGGTATAAGAGCACATAAATACATGCATACAAATATACATGCATACATGCATACAGACATACATGCATACATGCATACATACATGCATACATGCGCACATGCATACATAAATACATGCATACACACATGCAAAATACAGATGAACGTGGAGAGCTTAGGCAAAGTACTGTGCGCTTGTTACCTGTGTTGAGCTCTAGCTAATGTACCCCGTGGCACTTTGTTTTGTTAAGCATAACAATAACAACAATTTTCAGTTGATTTCGCTGGGTTGTTGTTGTTTGATTTGGCAGTCTATGCAAAAGTTGTCGTCATCGTTGCAATCGGTGCTCACATATTT